ACTTGATAAATGTCTAGTTTGATTTGCTCCTCGTTTATAAAAATGGATCTAATGATGACTTCTTTAGAGCTCAGTTTCCTTTCTGGCTCTAAATCCTATTATTCTAAGATAAATATTCCAACTAGCTATTTCTGAAATACAAAAGGAAAGCACCTTAAAAAAACAAACAAACAAACAAAAACCCAACTAATTTTAACTCAACTTCTGCAAACCAAATTCCCTGTCTCTCTAGTTATCCAATTACTGAAAGAAAGGCAACAGGGAAATTTGGGTTCTGGTGAGGCTCCTGTTCTAATCAACTAACCCGTCCCCTTTCTCTTGCTCCTGAGCTCAGCAGTTTTCCATCAGTCTGTTCTAAGGAGACAGATTACATCCAATTCAGGTCTGACTAGGAAAGTTCCCAGCTATGAAAAAAAGATTTTTTTTTAGAAACTATATATCCAAAATCATGCCACTGATTAACTTTAAAAAAAAAATTTAATTAATTCATTTTTAGTTTTCAACATTCACTTTTATAAGATTTTGAGTTCTAAATTTCCCCCTCCCTCCCCAAGACAGTATGCAATCTGATATAAGCTATATATGTACAATCATATTAAACATATTTCCACATTAGTCATGTTGTGAAAGAAGAATCAGAACAAAATGGAAAAACCACAAGAAAGAAACAACCACATAAAAAGAGACAGAAAATAGTATGCTTCGATCTGCATTCAGACTCCATAGTTCTATTTCTGGATGTGGATAGCATTTTCCATCAAGAATCTTTTGGAATTGTCTTAGATCATCGCATCGTTGAGAACTATGTCTATCAAAGTTGGTCATCGAATTGTGTTGCTGTTACTGCGGTACAATGTTCTTCTGGTTCTGCTCACTTCACTCAGCATCAGTTCATCTAAGTCCTTCCAGGTTTTTCTGAGAGTATCCTACTCACCATTTCTTTTCTTTTCTTTTTTGGTTGGGCAATGGGGGTTAAGTGACTTGCCCAGGGTCACACAGTTAGTAAGTGTTATGTGTCTGAGGCCATATTTGAATGCAGGTCCTCCTGAACCCAGGGCTCTATCCACTGCGCCACCTAGCTGCCCCCCTGCTCATCATTTCTTATGGAACAATAGCACTCCATTACATTCATATATTACAACTTGTTCAGCCATTCCCCAATTGATGGGCAGCCCCTCAATTTACATTTTCTGGCAAACACAAAAAGAGTTGCTATAAATATTTTTGTACATGTCAGTCCTTTTCCCTTTTTTATGATCTCTTTGGGATACTGACCTAGTAGTGGTATTGCTAGATCAAAGGGTATGCAGTTTTATAGCCCTTTGGGGATAGTTACAAATTGCTCTCCAGAATGGTTGGCTCAGTTCACAACTCCACCAACAATGCATTGTGTTCCAATTTTCCCACATCTTTTCCAACATTTCTCATTTTCTTGTTTCGTCATGTTAATCTGATAGGTGTGATGTGGTTCGACTGATTAACTTCTATTAGTACAGGCAGGTAGTCACTCTTCTCTGCAGGTTCCAGCCCACAGTATTATTCTAGGATACTATTAAATTCTTTGTTTCTACCTTCAAGCTAGTTCCCCTTCCTCTCCTCTGCCTTTCCTTCTCTTACTCTCCTGGCTGACTCTGTGCACACCTAGGATGTGTTGGTTTTCCCAGTGTCTATGCAATGCTCATCAAAGACAAAGTAGTAAAAAACTGTTGCCTGAATACAATTTGAGCTAGATGTAATGTGATGCTAGATGTGATGCTAAATGTTCGGATGGTGTCACATGTCTCTGTATTTCCAACGTTACTATTTCCAAGCAGCCCTATCCAGCCTAAAACTCAGTCTCAGTTCTCTGTAGAGAGCAATTTAAACTTATATAGTCAAAATTTTGGCCAGGCTGTAACCTACCTTCCATCTACAATATTGTTGCTACAAAACAAACTACCCCATAATATTGTTTCTCCTGGTCATATGTTCACAGAACTAAGTAACCATTATTCATTAGCTTTGGGGTATGCTTATACTCAATTAAGACTACTTTTTAGCAGTTTTGAACAAGGTGAATCACTGCTAGGACAGTCAAGGTAAGGAGTTTAATTGTATTAGGGGGTACTAAAACATTCATTCATTTCTAACATTCTATGCATATAATACCTTTGCACACATGATATGCATTTTCCTCATTCAGCCTGGAGTGCCATCCCTCCTTACTTCAACTTCCCCTACTTAAGACTCAAGGATCATCTTTTGCATGAAACCTTTCATTACTCCCTCCAACTGCTAGGGAGCCCATTAAACTACCCTGTATTTTAGTACTTTGTATATATTTGTATTTATACTGCATATATCTATATGTATACTTGTCTTTCCCATTAGACTATAAACTCTTTATGAGTAAGGGTTGTTTCATTCTTGTGTACGTATATTCCCAGCATAATGCCTGGGCTATAGCAGCTGTTTAATAAATACTTGTTAAATGATTGATTTCTGGGTTTGTGCCTTCCCTCCAAAGGATCTCCAAGGTATAATAAGTTATTTATAAAAATACTAAAGGCTCTTTCCTCAAAACAATCTGGTAAGGGAGGGAGTATAATTATGATCTCCATTTCATAACAGTTAAATGACTGGCCTAAAGTGATAGAGTTGGTATCATCTGATTCCAAGGCCAATCAATGCCCTTTCCATAGCTTCAAGCTGTTTCTCTCTATGCATAGTCCAGCATACAGAACTTGTAACTTCTGAATGTCTATGCAATGTTCTACACAGAAAAGGCACTTAAAAAACGTTAAACAAATACAATGCAAGGTAGATTGTTAATTTTTAAAAAACAGTAAAATCAACTTTCCATTATTATTCATGTGTTAAATGGTATGGATAATTCACAACTCATTTATATTTACCTTTAGAATATATTTATTATTTTTCCAGCAGATTTGTCTTCTAATTATTACTTCCTTGGGCAATGGAAATTTAAAATATAAGCCAGCTGCAGAATTCTGGCATAAAATATATCATCCACAATATGGAGGACCAGGTAACTTGTCCTGGTCATGTGGCAAGAGCAAGGATTAACAGATGGACAGTCCAAGTGCTGTTTTAGTTTAAAAAAAAAAAGACCCTAGAAAAGGCTCTGTTGGGGTGATGCTCCATAGAAAGTTTGTGGAAACATTCAAAGAAGAATTTGACAAAAGGAATGATGAGTTGGGGGGGTATCCACATCAAAAGAAAAAAAGTCTTTTTGCTGGCTAATCTTAAAATTAATTTGTAATCCCTTAACATGGACTGATAGCAATAAAAGGAACCCTTGAAAGCAGAAGAAAGTGCTTTGAGATTTTAAAATTTGTGGGGTAAATCCACAAAGTAAATAATCAAATACTGTTGGGTCAACTGCTTCTAAGGTGACTTACAGAAAGGAAATTAGTAATGGAGAATTCCACATATATATGTAATTTCATAGGATCAGAGCTGAACAGTTAAAAGGTACCCTAGAGATATCTTGCCCAATCCATTCACTGGACAGATAAGAAAACGAAGGCAGAGAGAGACTTTACCTCCTTTCCCAGGAATTTGAAATTTGGCAGTATCTTAGCCAGGGCACAGGAACAGGATTAAACATAAAAGGTCCTGCTTGGTATTTGAAAATCCTTCACAGCCTGGTCCCTTTCTACCTTTGCAGTCGTCCCATACCTTACTACCTTCCACCTACTCTACATTATCTACTAATACTAACCTACTTACTGGCTCCTCCCCCACGATACTCCCTCCATCTCTCCAAGACTTTTTTACTGTCTCTCACACCTGGAAAGCTCTTCCTCCTCTCCTCTAACTCTCAGTTTCCCTAGACTCTCAAGACCCACCTCAATACTACAAGCCTTTCCTGTTCCCTCCCACAGTTGGAGCTTCCCACAGAGATTATACCGATTAAGTACTGGATAATTCACATTATCTCTCCTCTAGAAAGAGAGCTCCTTGAGGGCACGGACATATTTTTGCCTCTTTGTATCTGCTGGGCTTAGCATAATGCCTGGCATTTCGGAGCACTCAATAAAGGCTTGCTGAGTGGCCCATTCTCATCCCAGGGCTCTTTCCACCAACCTCACTCTTTGTATATGTTACCCAGCTCCAAAAATGGGAGGTTTGGGGTTGGTCGGGTTTTTTGTGGCTTTATTTATTTTTGTGGCCGCTGCTGTGTGAGCACGAAGCAGCACAACCGAGTCTGTATTCCTCTCCACCCCCTAAAACGACTCCCCTCAGGCACCAGAAAATCAAGGTCTTAAGTCTACGCGAGTCCTAGAATGGCAGCAGCAACCTGCTACTGTTCATGATAGTCATCCTTCTCCACTAGAGATCTGATTTAGCAGCAAGAGGAGGAAAAACAAATCTTCCCCAAACACGTGTTTGATGAATGTGTAAAAAAAAAAAAAAAAAAGTAATTCCCATTCAAACATTTCAAAACGCAGAGCAAATATTCAGACAAGTTTCTACGGTGAAAATAATTCTTAGTCACCGGGTGATGGAATTCACTTGCACCCACCCCCCAGACACCGGGAAGGGAAGGCAGCCGCCCCGCTTCACACCTAGTTAGCCTCTGCTCCCGGAGCGAACACAAAGCTAGGTGAGGGGATGTCCTGCCTTCCCCAGCCCGCACGCGGGGCAGGAGGGGCAGGAGACTCCGGCCGGGCTGGGGGGGGGGGAAGTCCCTCCTCTCGTCCGCCCCCTCCATACACCCTCCCGGCCCGGGGCAAAGAGGCCAGCCCCCGGGGAGCCTGGGCACCCCCTCCCCTCCGCTCCACCGCACCCCCCGCCTCCTCACAATCTCTGTCTGCGGTCTGTCTGGCCGAGGCGGCGGCGGAGCCCCGAGAGGAGTCCTCCGCTGCCTAGCCCAAGCCGCCCGACCACCACCAGCGCCCCCGAGGCCCGCGCCATGTTGGAGAAAGGGGCCGCAGCCCCAGCGCCCCCGTCCGCCTCCGCCGCCGCCCCGGCCCCTCCCCCCTCCCTCGGCTCACCCGCCGCCCCTGGGACCAGCCCCGTGGCCGCCAGGAAGAAGAACATCTGGTAGCGGGGGAGAACGGCCGCCTTCCCCGCGATGGCCGCCTTCCCCGCCGCGGCCGCCTCCATGGTCCCGCGTCGCAGTCCGCGTCCGGTCCTTTCCAGGGGCCGGGGCCGCGTCTCGGTGCCCCCGCCCCGAGAAACCAGAGAGCCTCGCCTCGCGCCGCGGCCTCGTTCGGCCCCTTTGTAACTGCTCGGGGGTGGCCCTCCCATTGGCTGCGAGGGACGTCCCAGCCCCGCCTCCCGGCAGCTGCTGAGACGGGAGAACAACAAGAGAGGCGAGAGCCCGGCCCGCAGGGCCGCAGCCAATCCGGGGCCGGAGGGCGCAGGGAACGTCCCGGCCCCCGCCTCCTTTCGAGTCCCTCCACGGGCTCCCCCTCCCACCCCGCCTCCTTCCCAGGCTCCCAGAACTCACCCGCCCCCTCCTCGGCCCCACCCCCTCACCCCGCGTCCCCCACGCCGCCGGAGGTTTCGGATGGTGCGAGAAGGGGGAGCAGTGAGCCGTGCAGTGGAAGAGGAAGCAGCCGCTGAAGCTGAGGGCTCTGGGTCCCTAGAGCTGGGGGCGCCCACGGGGCGAGAGCATCTTGTGCCAGCGGAGGGGAAGTGTTTCAGGACTGGGGGCCTCCTTTGGGGCTTCTTTGCATTCACTGCACTCTCTGTACGGTGACTGTGGCATCCGCACCCCTTCCCGGGGGACCGTTATCGCCCTTGGCCACTGCGGAGCTGCCGTTAGCGGCGGGCCACTCCTCTGTTCCCCCCCCCCCCCCTTCTCCTCCTCCGAGCCCCGACCAGTCCCCACTCCGCGGGCCTCAGGACTGCCCGCCCTGCGGAGCTGGGGGCTGGGGGCTGGAGCTCCGCGGCCCCCCTCCCCACTATGCCCACAGGGACGTGACCTCGGGGCCCTCTGTTCTTAACCACTATTTTTATTGAGCCCGGAAAGGAAAGAAGGCCGAGATTGGTCAACCCCGTTTTCTCCTGACTCCAGCGGCGGGATAGGGGAAGGATGGTCTACTCTACGCGCACGATCGCCGAGAGCCCCCTAGGACGGCAAGAGCCCCTGCCTCTCCGGCTCGCCCCTTTCTATTAAAGTCAAATAAACTCAGGAGAAACTCGGAAGGAGTAGAGAGAACATATGCCGAGATGAGGCATCTCGTTTTGCAAACCACAAGTGGCTAATGTTTTAAACCTACATACAGTGTTTGCATTACAACGGTTATCCAGAGTGCCTCTTTGGGGAATCTTTGGTTTCCTTAAAGACGAAAATAAGCTGAACTACTTTTCCATTCTTGATTTTCTCGGCTGAGAGACACTCCTCCCACCTTCACTTCAGTATGTGCCAAAATAATTTAGCAGCCAGACTTCTGATTCTGCAATAAAATACTTTTACTTTCGATACAAATACTATGCAGTTTTTAAACACTAAACTTTTTTAAACATAAAACTTAAATATCCATTTTCTATTTGATTTAAATCCTTTTTTTAACTTAATGAATGATCTCTCCTTGCTTTCAAGTCACTGCTAAAATCCCACCTTCTGCTTGTTAACAAGCCTTTGCCAGTCCCCCTCAATACTTCCACTCAGCGATTACCTCCAGTTTATCCTGTGTATATTTTGTTTGTTCATTGTTGTTTTCTCTCCCATTATACCGTGAGCCCTTTGAGGGCCAGGACTGTTTTTGCCTGAGTATCCCCGGTGCTTAGCATAGTGCCTGGCACAAAGTAGGCACTTTATAAATGTTTATTGACTTGACTTGTTCACTTGGATAAGGAACTTGTCTTCCTTTATGAGTTCCCTTAAAATGTGTTCGGCGATAACGTCTTAATAAAAGTAGTTAAGAAAACAGTTTAAATCTAGACTTTAAAAGCCTAGTAAGAGTGGGAGATGGTGATTAAGGCTGATGCAAATGAATACGGTTTTTATTCTCTCTAGAGTGGCTTGTATTTAAGGAGTTTAAATCGATAAGATAAATGAATTAACTCACTGGTGCCTGGGACACAGGGCAGCAGTGGATAGATCGCCGGACCTGGGGTCTGGTTCAGATGAGTTCAGATGTGGCCTCAGACACTTATTAGCGGTGTGACTCTGGGCAAGTTACTTACCCCTGTTTGCCTCAGTTTTCTCATCTGAAAAATGAGCTGGAGAAGGAAATGGCAAACTACTCCAGTATTTCTGCCAAGAACACCCCAAATAGGGTAACCGAGAGTCAGATACGACAAAAGCCTGGGACACAACACCCCACCCCACCCTCCATTTAGCGACTTTTGTGTGCAGTCTGTTTACCTGTAGGGGGAGAGAAGAGGAAACGACAGGAAGGGAAGTAGCCTCCACTTGTACTCCTAACCTTCTCCTTTCTTAGGAATAGGGTTCAGCGAGTTGATGTCTTACTTGTAAAAGTTTCTCATTCCTGATCTGGCTTTTTTCTAGTGATTAGAATGTGTTTGTGGGCCATTTACAGTGTTTCTGTCCCTCAAAAGTCCTGGATAGGCACTGACCAGCTGTATCTCCCTGGCTCCATAAGGGCCTCTATCTTACTCGTTTTATTTATCATTAACCGTTTTGCTTGGTTTCAACTCCAGGAACTTCACGCCATCCCGGAGGATAAATTCCTCTCCTGTACTCTTAGTGTCATGCAGATTGATTCAGCTTTTGATAATCCAGCACCTCCTCAGCACCCTCAGTTGCCTCTCTCCTTAAATTGGGAGGCTGGAAAGCTAAACCGTCAACTCAGAACCTTTCAACTAACCTCATTTTCCATCAGTTGCCCAATTTGGTTTCCCAGCAGGTCCCAGATGCCCCACCCCCTTTTCAGCTTCCTTTTGTCAATTGTCTTCCCGATGGGGACCGTCTTTCTTTTTTTATTTTTTGGAAGGGGACCATCTTTCTTAATTTGATTTATATCCACAGAACTTAAGATAGTGTCTGCCACTTAGTGTGTGCTTAATAGATGTTTGTTGATGAGACAATAACAAATCGCAAATTCTCAAGTTAATTTTCATAAATTGCATTTTATGTCAGCTGTTCCATGATGATGTTTTGAAAAATACTTCAAATTCATTAATAAATTCCCTGAATCACTAGCTTAAAACTGAGGTCTATGGAGGTGATATCAGAGGTCTTTGATATAGACAGATTAATATCTATTTATCTCTTTATATTAAAAAGCCCCTGATATCACTACCACCAGTTTTGAGCTAGTAATTTTAAGAATTCACTAACAAAATTATCTATTTTTATATAATGGAAATAGTGATGTCTTTGTATGCCACATCCTTCTATTTCCCTTTCTGTTGAGTCACTGAGAGAGGAAGGAGGTGAGGATCATAACACTTGGGAGGGTAAATGGGACCTTTCCTAACAAAATTGTAAGCAAATAAGGCCTTTCTTGAAAGTAAGGGTAAAATCCTATAGCAGAAGGAAGCTATTATTTTTCACCTCAGGAACACTGATGAGGAATATTGGAGTCTTAGGCAAAGTAGGATAATTCATGAAATATGTAGAGCAGGAGTTGTTAACTTGGGGTCAGTGAACTTTTTTTTTAATTAAAACTATACAGGTTGTTTTAACTGTCTTAGTGCAGCTTAAAGCTAGATACTGTAATTCAATGTAATTGTTTTCCAATGTAATCCTATGTATATTACATATAAGTAATTTTGAAGTATCTTTGATTACTATATAGTTTTCAGGGTGCTTTGGAAATATTTCAATATTTCCTCAGACCTATGATCTGATTGATGGGGATACTTCCAACTATGTAACCCATATATACCCTTTAATCTTCCATTATTCTTCTGTGTTCTTGGGCTGGGAACATTGTCCATCTGTAATGTCTTTTCAAGATATATACACTAATAGAATATTTTAATAGACTGCCCATCCAACTGCATGTTACAGTCTAGAGTAGACAACAGGCATTTTCTCCTGTAATGTTCACTTGCCCATTATATATACACATATATGTATATATACACGCATATACATACATACATACACACACACATGTATGTCTGAGTGTGTACATACAAATAAATATAGGCATATATATACATGTACAAATGATACATTTATCATTATTGAAACACACATTGAACCGGCCCAGTAGAATATAAACTCCTTGGGGACAAGAAGTATTTAATTTTTAACTTTATATCCCCAGCATCTAATAGACTACCTTGCACATAGTAGGTGCTTAATAAATATTTGTTGAAATGAATTTTTCACTCCTGTGTTCTTTTCTACATGGATAGTTAGGTTAATCATCTTTTTTGAAAGACCCTGATCTCCTTTAGGAGGCCCTGTAGAATTCTGAGGCTTGATATTATTGACCCAATATCATCTTCACAAATAGGCACACTTGGAGGACCTCATTATCTTCTTCATGGTCTCTACACAAGTAGTGTCCATGACAATGGCAAGCGCCTTTGGCAATATACATCTCCGTTTTATTATGTCTCATATATTAATAGTGAAAACATCATTGAACAAAATTATCTCTGTAGTTACATCTATCAAGGAATGTTAATATAGGCATAGGAAGCTCAATGTTGCGGCCTTAAAAGCCTTTAAATAGCATTTAGTTCTACTATCTTAAATGTTTTATAATTAAAAAAAAATGTTTGGGAGCAGCTAGGTGGCGTAGTGGATAAGAACACCAGCCCTGAAGTCAGGAGGACCTGAGTTCAAATCCAGCCTCAGACCAAACACTTGACACAGTGATCCTGGGCAAGTCACTTAACCCCAATTGCCTACCAAAAAAAAAAAAAACAAACAAAAAACTGTTTGGCCTTATGTGCTGTGTACATTTTAGTCAATTGTATGGCTGTGAAGATGTGATCATCTGTGGAAAGTAGTCTATGAAAGCCTGCCTGTTCCCTTCTCATATTTTTTTTTATCAAGTATAATCTGAAGAAGAAATTATAAAGATAAACCACTTGAATCAATGACAACTCCATTTTTAACTATTTTAAAAAGCCATTGATTCTGAAACATAGAGATTGGATATGGGTAATGTTACTAAATCTGATTAATGAGTTCAAGCAGTCACCACAATGAGGAGGCCATAGGAGCTCAGAAGTTACCTCAGCCAGCTAACACTTGATTTCTTTGCCAAGCAGAGATATATGGCAACCAAAAGCAACCCTGGCTTAGAATATAGACTTATTTGCTAAACATTGAGTAGGATGGCAAAAGATTGATTATAGGTAGTGCTACTTCA